CCATTGTTCTTTCATAATGGGAAAGTCGCGTGTGGCTCCTTTGAAGCAAACAAGTATCCCAAGACTAGAACTGACAGCAGCAACAGTTGCCGTGCGTACCGATAAAATGCTGAAAGCAGAATTAGACATTCCTATAGATGAAACTGTTTTTTGGACAGACAGTATGGCTGTGTTACGTTACATTAGAAATGAAACATCAAGATTTCACACGTTTGTAGCTAACAGACTTGCTGTTATTCATGAAGGATCAACGCCACAGGAATGGAGATATGTTAATACCAAACTCAATCCAGCAGATTATGCTTCAAGAGGACTTTCAGCAAATGAAATAGTGCAGCAAGGACGCTGGATCCAAGCTCCAGAATTTCTATGGACTTCCGTCGATTGTTGGCCAGAAGCACCTACAGAAATTTTGCGTGAAACACCAGATGATCCGGAAGTGAAAAAAGCATCAGTTAGAGCATTAGTAGCTGAAATACACAAGGCAGAACCAAGTGTTGACCTGATGGGTGTTGAGAAACTTATCAATCATCATTCTTCTTGGTATACGCTAAAGAAAACCGTGGCATGGATTTTGAAGATCCGCAGCAAACTTCTTCATTGTATTCAACGAAATAAACTTATTGACAGCCCATCATCTAATTAAAAGGCAGGATCCCCACCAGATGTCTTAGGATAATAGGATGTTTACATTCAATTGGCATATTGGCTCTCTGAAGTCGTCCTCCTACCGCAAAAGTCCATCTTCATCCAGAACTGGGTCGAGTTTCCGTATATAACTGTTTCTGTTCACATGTGAGTTTCCTTCTGCAAGAGTACTCAGTTCATCACAGAATGTTTCACGTTGTACATAACGCAAAATGGCGATTTCAGCTTTCTGTAAGTCCTGAAGCGAAATGTGTCCTATTAGTCAAATCCAGTCCCACTTTCTCAATCTGATTTTTATGGTTTTTCTCCATCTGATTTTAGTGGTTCTTAAACCCTGCTCACTTCTAAAAGCCTTCATTAGTGATTTTTGTGAAAACAAGACTTACCTGTAAAAATTTTTTTTAGAAAAAAATTAGATTATAATTTACTGGTATAGTACATCATTATTCAAAAAATGGAGAATCATTGTTTTGTCTATCTGACTTTGTTTTTATGAACCCAGGCCTGTAGTTTAGACTAAAATAATTTCAACATGTTCCATGATGTTTCAGAAATATTCCATTTTTTATAACCCGCATAGGCCGCCATAGAATGAAGCGACCTAGTTTCTTACCGAATGTAAACAGCTAAAAATTATAGAAGTTATTTTCTTACGGTATGTCTATAAATTTGAGATAGAGATTCTGCATTTACAATATCAAAGGTAATTTATCATATACTAAAAGCTAAAGTTGTAATAAAAAAAGATAATACAAATGTTGTCGTCTGCACGCCTCTGGAGACCTTAGGCCTAACGTTACGTACATGTAACATGTAATATGCTATGTTTGAGTTTGCGGTGTGACAGTATACTATGTATTTTGAAACCTTTGTATCTATAACACATAAGCATTGCTATTTTCAATCAGTTTGAAAGCATTGTTAACCTACATTTTCGCTTTTCCACTGCGTCAACACACTTCGGCTCTCTTGGCTGGCATGTTTGGGTACCGCTTTCGAGAATGTTCCTGTATGCCTAATTGTGATCTCGACAATTTTTTTAATGTTTTAAAATTTCTGTCGGTTGGCTCTTTTAATGGAGTGCCATTCGGCATTCCTGTCGCTTTGAAACGGGCGATCCCGTCTTCTTGAGTCTTCCCCTCTCGATGTCGATTTCACTTGTCGACTTTCTTAAGCCTATGTCGTAAATATCGTAATTTTCCACACGCGGTGGTTATTTATAGAACATAGAAAGATTTTTTATTTAAAAATAAATATAGTTAAACATATAAATCATAAAAACTTTAAAAACTTCTTTGTAAATTGTTATCAGTTTGAATTTTACGACATGTCTAAGTACGAAGACCCACTTGGGGTAAATTGATCAGAAGAATTCATCCTTAAACCTCATTATCTCGAACAAGGTGGGGCTGAAAAAAAAACCTTTGAGATATCAGAGAGTTCAAGGTATCAAGAGTTAAATACTTTTGACAAGAGGCCCATTGGACAAAACTCTTACCTGAGTAGCTTTGACTATTGTGTTCTTTGCCAGATTTCCCCCTAGCAATACATATTATAATCCAACTGGTCATAATTTGGACAATTTAGAATCTACACTACACCAGGATGCTTCCACATAAGTTTCAGCTTTTATGGCCCAGTGGTCCTTGAGAAGATTTTTTTTTATATAATGACCCCACCCTATTTTTGTCTTTCCTTGATTATCTCCCCTTGTGATGGACTTAGCCCTCCCTTTTAACAATTTAAACCCCCCTTCACCCAATGATGCTTTGAGGTAAGATTGATTTAATTTGGCCCAGTGGTTCTTGAGAAGAAGTCAAAAATGTGAAAAGTTTACAGACGGACGGACAGACAGCTAGACAGACGGACGGACAAAATGTGATAAGAAAATCTCACCCAAGGCTTCGCCTCAGGTGAGCTAAAGAGTGGATGGAATTGCTACATTACTGAATTCCACATATCCATGTCGGTGTCCAAGATACTGAAGATCAACTGCATATATAGACAGTTTTGTGTGGGTATCATTAATCAAAAAACAAATAAATTTTCTCTGAGTCTGAGGCTGAGTAATTTCAATGCATATAGATATCCTAATAAAATATACCGTTTATCCGTTTTTTTCGCGTGTTGGAAATTTTGTGAAAAAGGGTAGATTTGTAGAGTTTTTATTTTGAGTAAGTTATTTTTTACGATTAAGGATTTTTTGTTCAAAATGGTAATGTTTTTATGTCATATTATAGCTGATATAATTTTTGCGTGTTTTAAATTTTGCGAATTAAAAATTGTCGCAAATAATGCGAAAAATAGATCATCGCGAAAAAAACGGATATACGGTATGTTAACTAAATGCTTTTACAAAATTAACCTGAATTCTTTGTTCCAAATTTGGCACTGACATATGGGCTGCAGTTTTACAACGCACTTTGAAAAATTACGCACTTTAAGAAAAAAAATCAAAGTGCGTTAAATTTGGGACCAATTCAACGCACTTTGAAAAAGAAAAATTTGTTTTCAAAGTGCGTTATAATCGACCATATTATATATTCAGGCGCGGATCCAGAATTTTTTTCCAGGGGGGTCCAACCCAGTGTCATGTTGTAAATTTTGAATTTACCGGGTGGCAGTAAATACAAAATTTACAACATGACAACTTGTCCCTATTAAAAAAAAAATCCAACCTCAGAATTTTGTTGACAAGCCAAAAAAAAAAAGACCTAAACTTAACTTGCCCAAACGTGAAAATCCATATCGTGGTGGTGGTGGTGGTGGTGGGGAGGGGGTGACTTTTGACTGCAAATGCTTTATACATATTACTTTTCATACCAACTTAATAAACGTCCGCGTTTTTAAGGGGGACTCCCTTTTCTTGAGTTACCTTTTTCTTGGTTTAGTGTATCAATTTAATATCTCTGCAAATTCTAGATCCCCCTCCCCGCCCCCCTCTAGATCTGCGCATGTATATTAACGCACTTTGAAAAAAGTGTATGATCGATATTCTTGCAAATCTTAGATATGATTAATAATTGAACCTGTTGGATAACTTTTCGGTGAAAAGGTCACTTCAGGATGTGAAAGTGAGCGATTTCTATTTTTCCATACTTTGAAATTTCTTTCTCTCTTAAATGTTTAAAACTGTACTTAAGTTTTTCCAATTTGCATGCATTTTATGTAAACTAAAATTTATCGAAAGTTTTCAGCGTCATAGTAGTTATGCAAATACATATTTTGATGTAGCATAGGCATCAGGTACCTGGAAGGATGCTTAGGCACACGAATGTTTTACAAAGATATTGTTACATAATAAAGACATTGAAAATTGGGGATTACTTTCAGAGGGGGGGGGGTCAATTTGCTATCCATGGCTATGTAAAAAAGAGTTGGGCTGAGAGACGTTCTACTCGTCTTCTCCTTGTTCTCAATAAGGTTAAATCAATTCACGTTAATTAAAAGTTTTCGGAAGATATAATTATTACAAATTAATTCTCTCAATTACTTAAATCGAAGTCTAGAAATTTTGTTTAATACATGTTTATTTTTTTTCAAAACGCGTTAAATTTCCCCATGGTAAATGTTAATGTACACTCTTAACGCACTTGATGGTAATTAATTATTATTATTTATTTATTTTTATTTTTACAATGTAATGAATGTTGCTAGACGAGCCAATCAGAGAGATTAGACCTATACTGCAGTGTAACCACACAGAATTAAAGATTACTAGTATCATAGATTTTTGTTATGGTTAAAGCTAAGGAGCGTGAATTTGATGATCTTCAGACTTTGAACTGTGTCAACAAAAGGCATTTCGCTTAAGGTTAAAAAAGGGGGGTGATAAAAGTTCTTTTAACCTTATAATCGCTGCAAGAGCGATAACTCTAATTTCAGGGCGATCAGGAGACAGGTTTGGGCGGACACCATGAAGACGTGATGAACAAAGAACTGACGAATGACTTCTGTTATTCTACCAATTGCAATGTGAGACAAGTTTTCTAAGTGAGTACAACGGTAATTATATTTAGAATTTCATTAAAGAAATTATTCTTGCAAATGTACTTTCGGTTTGTATATTTTCATGATCATTTTTGAAAAGGTCATTTTCAATTTACCCTAAAATTGAAATTTGAATTAGTTAAGTCTGTAAATATGCAATAAAGTTGTTAAAAATAGATTCCAACATTAACAATTTGTATTCCTAAATACCATATTTCATGTAATTATGTACCTTTATTATACAGTTAGATACAATGATATTCATTAGTATTTATTGACCAGTCCAAATGATTATTATTAATTCATAAAAATGCAGGATTAATTTTAGTAACAATGCTATACTTTATTTATAGAACTTCTACAGAAACTATGGATCCCCACCTCAGTGCCCAGGATGTGATCAGATGTGACATTTGTGAGACAGCTACAGTACAGATGTACTGTGATTTCTGTTACGTCAATCTCTGTAAACCCTGTATTGGAGAACATATTGCTGATGACTATAACAAACATCAAATTGTCCCATTCCAACAAAGAAAATCAACCTTGATTTATCCAAAGTGTGCAACACATCCAACCAAATTATGTGATTTACAATGCAAGGAATGTAACTTTCCTGTTTGCTCCTTATGCTCTGCATCAGAACAGCATAAAGGACACAATTTCTTAGTCCTTGCAGAAATATACGACTCAAAGAAAAATGATATTGCAAAAGATACAGAAGAATTAAAAAACATTATTTATCCTAAATACAAAGAAATCACAAAAGATCTAGAAACACAGATGACTAACTTGCATGGAGAATATGAGAAACTTACAACAGCCGTGACAGAACATGGAAAACAATGGCACAAAGAAATTGACAATGTCATCAATGCTATGAAAAAAGAAATTGATGTTTTAAAGTAAAACACTTTGACATTATGAAGAAACATGCAGAAGAAGTTAAACATATAGAGACTCTTATTGAACAAACTCTTCTCAACCTGAAAGAAATGGAAGAATCAAATGAAGTGTCCATGACCATGGAATACAGCTCCAGAAACAAGGAATTCAGCAAACTTCCTCCAAAAGTATCACTGCCCGTTTTTGATGCTAAACCAGTAGATAGAGAACAGCTCTACAAGTTGTTTGGATCTCTTGCACCATTATCTACCACAGCAGAAGAAAATGGCTACAAACTGAAGAAACCGGAGACATCAACCAGAGAACTGCTAGAAGAACCAGAACTTATCACTACTATAGATACTGGGTATGAAAAACTCCGTAGTGTTGCCTGTCTCAATGAAGAAGAAATCTGGACATGTGGAATGGTCAGTGATATGAAATGCTTTAACATTCAAGGCTCACATATCAAGACAATAACAAAAGAATCAGGGGGAGTTCCAAATGATATAGCAGTGACATGTGATGGAGATCTAGTTTACACTGATGGGAGGAAAGGGACTATTAATAAGGTTACGAATGGAACGACAAGGAAGAAGATCACACTACAGGGTTGGACACCTTCAAAACTCTGTGTCACTTCCTCTGGGGATCTGCTGGTTACCATGTACAGTGAAGATAAAACACAATTCAAGGTTGTACGTTACTCAGGCCCTACAGAGAAACAAACAATTCAGTTTGATGAGGAGGGTAAACCTCTGTATTCAGGAAATAGCAAATTGAAGTACATCAGTGAGAACAGAAACCTGAATATCTGTGTGGCTGACAGTGAAGCTGGTGCTGTTGTAGTTGTTAACCAAGCTGGAAAACACCGATTTAGATACAGTGGTCATCTTTCTTCTAAAAAGAAGAAACCATTTAATCCCTGTGGCATCACAACAGACAGCCAGAGTCAGATCCTGACAGCAGACCCTAATAACCACTGTATCCACATCCTAGACCAGGACGGACAGTTCCTCCGTTATATAGATAACTGTGGTCTGAAGTATCCAATGGGTTTATGTGTGAATAAAAATTATTTGTTTGTTGCTGAATGGGAAGGAAAGGTTAAGAAAATTAAATGCCTTAAATAGAGATACATGTATATGTATACATGTATGCTTGTAAAAAGTTGGTCATTATTGGTCTAATTTTGTAAATAATTTGAAATATATTTAAGTTAAAATGTCATTGTAAAAAAAAAAGGCATATTTTTTCTTTGAGTTGTCAGAAGATGAGATGCATGGGAAGGGACAATGTAGACTTTATAAACATGATCAATATAAACTTGAAGACATTTTCAGAGCAATTTGATTTTTTATGAAAGAATGTTTCATTGTTATAATAAGGATAAAATATTAGATAAACATTGAAATAATTTTTTGATCTGCTCATTTTCATATAAATTTAATGGGATTAATTGCCAATTCTATTATAAAAAAAATCTTACTTAAGTTTAATGTTAAGGCATGGTAAATAGATGGTATATATTAATAATATGCTTTTAATTTGAATGTAATTATAGCAAATTTTGCAATATTTAAGACAATTATTATCATCAAATAAAAAGTATAAAAGAAGTTGATTTTTGTTATAAATCAAATTTTTGGGAGAGTAAAATTCTTTCAGAAGCTAATAATGTAATGTAGGGAATGCGATACCTCACTGGATGTCCAAGCTTAATTAGGAATTGCCCTAAGTTGATTTCTTTCTCTGGCTGCCCCCCCCCCTCTTTTATTTCAAAAACGATGCTACGTCACTGCAATCGGATGTCAGTTTACATAACTATTTTAGTATTTTCAAATATCATCTCTTATAATTGCCAGTGGATACATTTTATGGCCAAGATACAAAATAATTCCCTATGCCAACCTAACGAAATACAAGATTAATAACCAACAAATGCCTTAGGTGCCTATGAATTAAAGGAGTCCAGCTTGCTCTTTGTACACTAAGTCTTTCATAACGAAAAAATAGTAACGATAACGAAAGATGATTTATTATCTAGAAAAAAAAAATCACTGTTATACAAATCTGTGAATTGGATGTAAAACGGTATTAACAAAAAAATCCACTATAATACATAGTGAACTGGATATAAAATGGACTCGTGGAAAGTTCAACGGAGGAATCAGGTGCCCTGGAGGATTAAATATCCAGTACACCGGCCTCACCCATCGTGTGTCTCATGTATTGATCAGGCAGCAGAAATATTCATAGTTGAATTTCTTTAGCATAAAGAGAAAGGCATTAAAATTGGTATGAAATATGTAAAACAAAATACAACCAAGTTATTGGTTATATTATTTTAACAGCAAACTGAAATTGGCTTTAAACAAAATTAATGAAAGCCGTTGTGCTGCTGCTGTTCAGCTGTTGTGGCAGACTCTTTGGTGTTCTTTTATATCAAGTCTTGTAATTACTTTCCAGCTTTATACGAAACCACTCCCACGATAAATTAATTAAAGTCAATGCTTTTTGATATCATTGACAGCTGCTTTCAATAAAAATGTAACTTGTTAATACACTTACCTTGTCATCAGTCATTTGGAAAATTATTTTATTCAAAACATTCTGATTGTACATACAAGTTCTCTGAAGCTGACATCAAAAAGATGCTTGAGTTTCTGATTGACAATATCTATGTGTGTTTTTTTTGGAGAGGAGGTCTTTCGACAATCTATTGGAATCCCCATGGGTACGAATTGCACCCCATTATTAGCTGAACTACTTTTGTTTTCATATGAAGCAGGAATTGTCCAGAATCTTTAATCTCAGGGAGATTTTGTACGGACTAAAAATTTTTGTCTGATATCCCTCGACATCTCAGTCAAGTCTCACACAAACTGATGGCTTCGACTACTAGTGTCAATCAATACTAACTGAAATGAATAAACTGAAGAGTTCCAGCAATGGTCTGCTTCAAATACTTCGTACTATGGCTCATTTTTGTAAGAAATAGTAGTAGTACAAAGTAATTGAAGCAGACTATTGCTGGTACTCTTCAGCATCGGAGGTTTAAAGGAATAGAATACTTCTATGAAAAATCAATAATTTATGTTTTTTTATTTAAACCTTTTAAAGGTAAGAAACGAAAGCTAAATAGTAAATATAGACTTAAAATATGTCTAAAGGAGAAAAAAGTTGAAGCAGACACCTAATTCATTTCAGCCCCGTATTGATTGAAACAATTGGTAAAAGTCGGGCCAAGAAAACCCACATAAGTTTGAGTGATGCTGGACTGAGATGTCAAGGTGCACCAGACAAAATATTTGGTCAATATGACATCTCGTTTAGTTTACAAAATTTTATACACGAAAAGAGGAAAACACTTGTGGCCTTGAACTCAACATTTAGATATAACAACGATGATGTATTGTTAATTAACAATAGTTATATACGAGTGCATATTCTAAATTTTTTCTTTAAACTAAGCAAAAACAAATTAAAGAGAAGGGAGGTCAAGGTCACAGGAGTGCAAGGTGTAAAGTTTATGCGGCAGTTGAATAGCTCTCATTAATACATATCAGCAAATTATGTTTGATTGGCATCAGTCATCTTTTGAAGTCCTTTGATTCAAATTGCACTTGATGATAAGTGAAATACATGTTCTAGATTTTAGTAATCAATGCAGATCCATATAAATAGCGATCTCTGTTGAATTTGACCATATGTTTTCATATAAAATCTTTAATCCATGGTAATAAAATAAGGATGCTTATTTCCATTTGTGACACTACATTTAACAAATCTCTGCATCTGTAATACTGTGACAGTTGAACTGCGTTTTCTTGAATACTATGATATATTTAACTGATTTTAAAAACCCAACAACTATTACCCTCAATATCGCAAATCCCTGGACATCTTTTTGTTTCCCCTCAAACCCACTGAATTTGATATAACAAAGCTTGACTGCATTTAGACAGTGTTGTTATATAGATCGCCCTAAACAAAACAAACACAGATTTCTCTTTAGACTGAGTGATTTTATGCATATAGATATCCTAATAAAATATATGTTAACTAAATGCTTTTACAAAATCAACCTGATTCTTTGTTACAAAAATGGCACTGACAAATGAATGCACATGTATAGGCACCAGAGAAAAAAATGTACACATGAAATGATGATGTGAGTATGCATCAACTGATGATGTCATTTCTTTTATAACAAAAATTCATGACAGGCGAATCAGTCCATATTGTACAAAATCAACACATAAGTATAACTGATATTGATGTGCAAATACATTGTGCTTCTTATAAAAGTCTTCCTTTTGACTGCAAGAAAAAATATGCCATGAGACATGTTACAAGAATATGGACACCCTTGTGCAAGAAAATTATTCTTAAATCCTAGTATAGTCATAAATTTTGACTATTTATACTAATAAATAAATATTGCTTTTGAAACTCATTTTTATTTTATTACTGTACAATGCCAAAATATAATCAGGAATCAAGGGAATAGGATATTGGGCAACATCTAGGCACAGCCTAATTTAGCTCTCTCCTAAGTCAGGTTACAATCAGTATACATTTTCCTAACTCATATTTCAAATTTTTTAGTTGCATTTATAAATGAACACTTTTTCCCTTACCCTGAATTTTATCAACAAACACAAGAGATTCCTCAAAAGATTTTTTTCTTGTATCAAACACCATCATATTAATTTTTTTGATTATATTTTTATAGATTTTTATATTTTATTTAATTTTTCTCATAAGTTTCATACAATATCATGATTAATCATATTATCAGAATGGAACTAGCATTCTATTAAATTTAACTTTCAGACCTGACTTTTCTTACAGTTTGTTAGCAGATTGTTAGCAAATAACACATCATCAGATACATGTATATCAACCTTCAAGCACACTGACATGGTCCTGTTTATAGGAACCAAATCACAATCAAAGATATGTACCATAAAAAATCATTATTCACACAATACCGTCAACAGTCAACTTCAAAAATAAGTCTACTGTAACAAAAATCTGAATATAAATATTAAAATTCCTCAAAGAGACATCATGCACAGAAATAAAATAAAAAATAAAAAATCCTGTTGTTACTCTCTTTCTTACAGTATAGAGCACTATATAGAGGTATAAACAAACATTTTTTTTCTTTTTACGAGAGACATTGTAATAAGGGGTAATATCAGAATTATTCTGCATGGAGTATTCAGTGAATTAACATAATTTAAGAGTAGCCTTAAGAACATTCACTTGGTCTGACAGCAATACAAATCCTGATTTCAGAATTCCACTGACGTTGATACACAGAATGAGGTATGGTCCATTTTCAGATGATGAAAAATAAAATGAAAAACCTGCTTCTTTAGACATACTTTATACATAGGTCACAAAACTGTGAAGCATTGTATGAGTGAATCGTCCATAAAAATCTAAATCTACGAGATGTGAGACCTCTATTCAGGAATCAGACTACTATTCCTGTTGCTAAGTAATATCCATGATATGCTGTGCTGAATTCTAGATCTTGATTCCATATTCACTTTAAAAAAAAAGCCAAACTGATTGAATAAAAGTTGACCAATCAAATCTCTCCTTACTCAGTGCCATTCATCCTACAGTATAGGTGTTTCTGGGTAAATATGTCATCAAATGACCACAGGGTTATTGGTTACTATGGTGATCTTTATCACACTGACAAGGTCACAACAATAAACAGCTAAGTATTTTATCACAAGGTGATCACATGACTGTCTCCATGACGACACCGCTGCTACTGTCTGGTTTTTCACTAATTCTGTCCAGCTTAAAACAACATACTCTGGCGACGAATTTTCCCTAGAAAAAAAAGACAAAACTGATGAAGGAAAATGTCTTAACAGATTTATGAGTCATAATCTAAGGTTAAAAAAATTACAAAATCATGTTGATCAGACACCATGATAACATACCTGAATTTGCCAGGGAAGAAAATCTCATTCCTGGGTCTTTATGTAAAACAATACCGGGTACAGTAAAAATGGAGACAGCTAAAAATAGAAATATTTATTCTATGAATAGCTTTGTTTAACAGTCATAGTTAACAGTCACACCGTGGGACTTTCATCCTCATGGCAACACAAAATATACTGCTCGGAAATCACAGGGAAGTTCCTGGAGGAGCGGTACGAGATCGACTCCTCCCAGATCTGTCCGTTAGAGACGAGATGCAGTCACATCATGTACGTCGACTCAGATCAAATTGAGCAGATGACGGTGACTGTGATAGATGCACACCACTGTCCTGGCAGTGTCATGTTACTCTTTGAGGAATATTTCGGTAAAGTTTTAAAAATACACAGGGGATTTTCGTTTTGACTCAAACATGAAAAATGATCCACTGATGGAAAACTTGTCTGGTACAGATGTTGTGTATCTAGATAATACTTATATCTCCCCAAGATGTATGTTTCCATCTAGAGAAGAAAGCCAGAAGCTAATTTTAGGAATTATTCATAGCCATGAAGAATTCAGTGTAAAGATTGGACTGAGAAACTTAGGAAAGGAAGACCTTTTAGTAGCCATTGCTCAGGATCTTCAGGAGTGGATCAAAGTCAGTCCTGCCTTCTTTCAGGTTCCAGAAATCCTAGATCTTCCAGATGTTTTTATTACAGGAGAAACAGATGCAAGAATTGAAGTTGTTCCCTTTTACTCCATTTCCAACAAAAATATTGAGAGGTGGAACAAAGAACAGCCTGCAATAGCTATTCTTCCTACCTCCCTCTATACAGGGTTAGAGATGAATCCTTTCTGTAACCAGGATAATGTGTTCATTGTGCCATATTCTGATCACTGCTCATTTGATGAGCTCACTGACTTCATAAAGCTCGTCAAACCAAGGTCTGTTTATCCAATTGTAAATGACATGAATCGGGGTTCTTTTGGAATTAGTATTTCAGATCGGGCAGATGTTTTGGTTTTCAAGCCGTACCTCAGCAGTCCAAGGAAGAAAAATTTTGAAATTCCTGACAGTGTCAAGAGGTGGATGTTTGGGAATCGAACCCTACCTCCCTCCAGACTGCTAAACAAGAAACTGCTTGCCTTAAGAAGGAAGAGATCTCTACAGAGCATAAAGAGAGAAGTCCATTTCGATGATTCAATGGAGTATTTTTCTGAAGAGAAGACAAAGAAGAAGAAAATTCTCAACAACAAAGGAGGTGATGATAAAAAATCTGGACAAGAGGATAAATGTGTGCCTACAGGATGTGGGACAAACTTCTGATAAGGAAAATTCAAATGGAGAAAACTCTAAGAATTCACCTTGAAAAGATATTACAAATCCTAAGAAAAATAAGGTGGAAAAACTTAAAGTTAAGTTCAGCTGGAGAAGTGAAAGTGAAAAAAGGTCTGAAATATCCTCTGAGCATGTACAAGAATATGAAAGACATGAAGCATCTTCCAATATGGAGTGTGTAAGAGAACATGAAGAAAAAGGGGACAAGGAGATAGAAAGGGAAAATTCACCACAAAGGAAAAAAACATTTGTTAAAAAACTTTTTAATGTATGTACTGGACACAGACATACCCGATATGTCAGGCATGGAAAATAAGTCTGAAAATACCTCAAAAGAAGACAGGAGTGCATGCAGTAGTGTTCAAAATTCTTATGAACAGAGTAAAGAGACAGCAAAGGTCAATGGGAAATTTAATCCTATCCGGGTTATTCCGATTGTGTCGAACCCTGAAAAGACAAAGGTTGAGAAGGCTACTAATTATCTGAGAGTCATTCCCATTACTAAAACTACACAAAACAAGAAACAGAGTAGTGTTACTCCACAGGGTTCTAAGAGAGGACCAGTATTTAATGTTTAACCATTGTGAAGCACCATTTCAATTCAAAAAGTGCTTTGAATGCTGAATTACCAATATTTCTATTGGGTGATTTTAATTTTGATATGTTAGCTGATGGCAACAATGCATTTAAAAACATGTTGCAAAATTTTTCATTATCAAATGTTCGCAACTAGGTTAAGGGCTACCCAAAGGTAGAACAGTGTATGCAGAGCCTCGGGAATTCGATTTTGACGTCACGGTGAAATTGTACAAATGAATCTCGGCGAATAAATAATAATTTTCTTTTTCATATACCCTTACATACTTTGATTTCTCATGATTATTGTAAATATTAATCAATATGTAACTTATATTGTCAGTATAACACTTATCGAATGTAAAATCAAAGCCAACTTGATCTCGCTGTACTAACATATATGACGTCATAGGCTAGTTTGACACGCAGTTTCTCTGTACTCGAGACGCAGATAAAGCTAATAGTGGAACTGAAAATATGAAATTTAAATCTATGTAAGCGTGTTCTGATTACAATTGATTCATACTTTTCAATGCATTAATCAATATTTCACAGTCTTATTTAATTGATAACTATTAGGTCTTTTATAAAGCCGCAGTCATGCACTTTTATATAGAAACGTACTACAATCACATGTACAACCCCTCCAAAATCTCAAAAGTTCAACGATATCCGCTAAATTATAAATTATAATATTTTATACACATGTAGATACTGTCCCTACTATTTTGAAAAGTGCTGGGAACAAGTTGTGCGCTGTTGATTTTTTCCGTAGTTGTACATTTCTTCAATGCGTATAGTGTAAATACACATACTTTATCAAAAGTCGGCTAAATTTTATTTAATTCCCGGGCAGTGAGGAGTTGCTCCCAGCACTTTTCGGGTTAAGAAATTTGTCTTAAATAAAACACAATCAATTTCATAGTGAAAAATTATCTGTATATCGTTGAACTTTTACGATCTTTGTATCCGTACATATTTTTTCTAATTTTAAACATGTCACGTGACAAACAGCTGATGTACATGAAGTCGCGTATGCCGAACTCGGTTGAGACCCCATACATGCATATGCATTAGTATAGTTCCCATTAAATTAAAACTAATGCTAATAAAAAAAATATTAACATTATATTGATTTTTTCGGAATATTTTAAGGCTTATTTTCTATGGGCGGCCTTAACTTAGCTGCGTTGTTACAAAACCAACAAATTTTTCAACATCAAAAGGTACATGTATTGATCTTATTATTACCAATGCTGTTGAAAAAATAGAAACTGTAAATATCTTAACGCCTTTTTGTAGCACTCATAGTCCAGTTGGTGTTGATCTACATTTTAAAACATTCAAGCAACACTCATATAAAAGATACACAAGAAATTATACAAAAGCTAACTACTCACAACTATGCACAGATTTGTCAAATGATGATTGGGATAGAGAGGTATTTAATACACACAATATCAATGACATATATGATAACTTTATGAATATATATAACCATTATGTTGACAAAAATATACCTAAAAAAGTAGTGACCATTAGACCATCAGATAAACCATTTATGACAAGTGCTATTAGATGTAAGATGCGACAAAGAAATAGAGTACATTATAAAGCAAAAGCAAATAATAATGAATATCAATGGAGTAGATACCGTCATTTAAGGAATGAAGTAATAAGTATGGTACGTAAATCAAAACAAGTCTATAAAGAAAAAATTACCTCACAAATATTAGATAGATCAATACCACCTGGCAAATGGTGGCGAATTGTAAAGTCTATTACTAAATTTTCTAAAAAAACAGATTAAACCCCCACCAATAAAATCCAATGGTTGAATTTATATACACCCAGTTGAAAAAGCTAATATAATTATTAAACACTTTGCAGAAATATCTCATATTGATGTCAGCACAGAATCCCAGTTACCCCCTCAAGGGCCAGGTCCACCATATTCAATAAACACAATTCATATTACACCCCAAGAAGTGGAGGATCAATTACATAATATCAACCCATCTAAACCTCCAGGACCAGATGATATTTCTCCTCAAATACTGAAAAATATAATTCCGTCTATCACTGCACCCCTAGCAAAATTGTTTAATGCATCATTAACCAGCAAACAGCTTCCCCATATATGGAAACTATCAAATATTACACCAGTTTATAAAAATAAAGGTAGTCCCGAAGAACCAGGAAACTACAGACCTATTGCTTTAACTAGTATTCTCTGTAAGATTATGGAAAAAATTATTTTCAAACATCTCCACAACTATATGATGGATCATAATCTTTTATCTAAGAATCAGTCTGGATTCCAACCTGGGGACTCCACTGTAAATCAGCTTCTAGAAATATACAATACTATTATAAGCAATTTAGACCAAGGCAAAGATGTAAGATTTGTTTTCTGTGATATATCAAAAGCATTTGATAAGGTCTGGCATAAGGGGTTATTATTTAAGCTTAAGCAGAATGGTGTTGTCGGAAATATATTGGATTGGATTGAAAACTATCTTACTGATCGTGAACAAAAAGTTTTATTAGAAGGGTACTCCTCAGTTAGAGAAAGTATAAATGCAGGCGTCCCACGAGGTTCGGTATTAGGACCATTCCTCTTTTTGATATATATTAATGACATAACTGAAAATTTAGAAAATCAAATTAGGTTATTTGCAGATGATACTTCTTTGTTTGTAATTGTAGACTCTGATACACAAGCCCCTGCTGTCTCTTTGATAAATGACTTGGAAAAAATTAAACAGTGGTCCAGACAATGGATGGTAGACTTTAACCCCAGCAAAACTGTAAATGTTAATTTTACCCGATCAAATAAAGCTCATCCACAAATCTCATTTGGTTATGTAAATAGTTACATAGAACAACAGCAAAGTCACTGCCACCTTGGACTTATACTACAATCCAATGGTGGTTGGTCAGAACATATATCCAAAATATATCATAAAGCATGTCAACGTTTAAATGTTCTTCGCACCCTTAAATACAAATTAAACAGAGATTCTCTCATTAGTATTTATATTGCTTTTATAAGGCCTATTTTAGAATATGGAAATGTAGTACGGGATAATTGCACACAGGAACAGAGTAATCTATTAGAGAGTATGCAAATAGAGGCTGGGCGTATCATTACTGGGTTAAGACGCAATTCTTCAAAACAAAAATTGTATAATGAATTAGGATGGCAAACACTTAGTGAAAGAAGAACTAAACATAAGCTTACACTTATGTACAAAATACTTAATGATTATACACCTGAATATTTGCAAGAAATGGTCAATCAATGCCTACCTGTTTCACATAATTACGCGTTACGCAATAATTCGTATCACTTACCAATCACTAGAACAGTTGCATACTAAAATAGTTTTTTACCATCTACAATTAAATTATGGAATGATTTGCCAGATAGCTTAAAATCTGTAACAACTGTAGCAAAGTTTAAACAGTGTATGCAAAATAAAAATCCACAAAATCCAAATTATACAATTATGGACAAAGAAAATTAAATATACTCCACTGTCAGTTGAGAAACTTCTCTAGTAATCTTAATGCAGACTTGTTTAATCATAATTTAGTTGATTCACCTAAATGCTTAAAATGTGGATATTGTTTTGAAGACTCTGTTCATTTTTCTTTCAATGCCCATGTTATGATTTTGCCAGGAACATTTTAATTACATACATGAGTGACCATGACATACCAAGAGATGTCAATATTGTATTATCAGGTTATGATTGTCTATCTCTTAGAGAAAATATGTTATTCTTTGTCCAAGTTCATAATTTTATAAAAAACTCTAAAAGATTTTAGTCTGAGCCTTCCTTTCCATATTCTTTATTACTTAATTTTTTGTTTGTTTGTTTTTTCCATCATTTTTTTTCTTCTTTTTCACTTTTCTCTTAAGTTTATGTTATTGTTTTCTTAATGCATTTTTTCTCCTCAATTTTTCTTCAACTATGTATTCTTTATAATTATCTTAATATTAATTTATAATACATGTTTTTTTGAACTTAAAATATGTACACTGAACCAAACTTCTAAGTGTTCACCTAACATTTTTGAAGTTTTAAAGTACAAATGCAAGCAATAAATAATTTCTTTGATTTCTGATTAATGATGCATATTTAAGTTTGATGTTGCGAAAATTTCATGTAACTATCTCGACAGAATTTTAAGCAAAGAGTCAAAGAAATGATGAAATGATGTACCCTCAAAATGAAAATTCAAGGAGTAAGACCGAAACTCGGTCTAATTACTACAAGACTGTAATTACAGTTGAATACCATGTACCCCTGAATAGGAGATTGACCCATCTGCTGCCATGCCTACTGCATAGATCTTTCTAAACCGTTGAAATTGTGTGAAAAGGGGGGGGGGTTGACATTTCC